TTCAAAGCCAGCCTGGTCTACATAAGGCTTTATCTCATTAAAAAAAAAAAAAAAGGAAGGAAAAATATGACCAAATACGCTATAAATCATTCTGCTTTGCATGGAAGAAGATAATAGTACATCTGTACGTTCCCAGGAAATGTTTTGTGGCTTCTCCTTTGTAAAGAACATCCCATGATCCACGAGAGAGAAACAAACATCCAAGAATATATAGCCTCCCACAGTTTCCAGGCTAACCACGACCTCAATATCCTTGGCACTAAATGGGGCAGGGGGAAACCTGTGACTCAGGAATGAGGCACAGTCAACTCAGAGCAACTTCATGGGGAATACTGTCCAATAAACATGTCCAAGGGAGCTGGAAGACACAGAGCATTGGACCTTGCAGAGGACCCAGGTTCTGTACCCATCACCCACCTGGTGGCTCATAACCATCCATAACTCCAATTCCAGGGCATTTGATGCCCTCTTCTGACTTCAGAGGGCACAAGCATGCACATGGTGCACATACATACTTGCAACAAAACATTCACATACATTTTAAAAAAAAACTCACACCTTTAATCTCAACACTTGGGAGACAGAGGCAAGGGGATTCTCTGTGAGTTCGAGGCCAACTTGGTCTATAGAGTGAGTTCCAGGTCAGCTAGGGCTACACAGTGAGACTCTGCGTCAAGATAGATAGATAGATAGATAGATAGATAGATAGATAGATAGATAGATAGATCAATTGATCTTTGGAAAAAATCAAAAGGTACGTGGCCTTATGAATGTTTGTTTCAGGGGCCAGTGCTGCCAACAGCCTTGTCTTAGAAGCTCCTGTTCACAGTGGACAACAGGACACACAGAGACTCACAACTGGTCAAAGTGATGAGAACCAGGGCCTATTGGATGCTCAGCCAGAAATGGGACATCAGTGTCACCCCTCTAGGGCTCAGGGAAAATGGTGGAAGAGGGGATGGGAAGGGCGTGAGAGCTGGGGAGGGGGGTACCATGAGGCAGTGAGCTGGAAGGCTGCCTGCAGAACATGACAGACAAGACAGCTGCGTTCTTGATCTCCCAGCCGCTGTGTGTATCAGCAGAAGATCTGTGGAAGACTGGGCCCGATATCCTGCCGTGAGCAGGGGGAGGCATGAGGCGTCCCCCTCCCTGAGGATTTACAGGCAGATAATGGTAACTAGGAGAGAGGGCCTCAGCTCATGAGTCCCCCACCCCTCTTTGACTATCTATAGGTAGTTAGCGGTTGCTTTGGAAGGCAGAGGCATTTCCCTCAGTAGTATAACTACTGGTAGGGAGCTCGTTCTCTTCAAAATAAATCCTTCATCCAGCATCTCGTAAGAAACCTTAAGAAAACACAGTGATCCCTAAGCAAACAAACAATAAAAATAGAAAAGTAATAAAAAAAATGAAGAAAGAAAGGGACTCAGAGGGCATGGGAGGGTAATGATAGGTGGATATGGTCAAGATCCATTATAAACATGAAGAACATTTCACCATGAAACTGTCATCATATATAATTAACATACAATAATGTCCAGAGGAAGACTTGCTCATAAAAAAATGAGCTGTACATATTAGAATGTGTGAGATATATTTCAAAAAAAAAAAAAAAAAACCTTCCTGAAAAATGGCCGGTTTCCAAGCTCAACCCAGTCCACTGGGGTCAAGGAAGGATGGTGGGAACGTGGAGACTGGCTCCTGTCTTTCCTTGAAAAATCACATCTCCCACCCCAGAAGCTCCATGTCTAGGGCACTCATTCCCATTTTCCTGCCCTGATTCTGTGGCTCGGCTCATTACCACAGTAGAAGAAGTGATGGTTCCCATTCCTAAAAGGGAACAGCACCTCAGACTCAGACTTCCCGCACCCAAGACCTGCTTCTGATCCATCGGTAAAGCTCAGAGCCCAGAGGCAGGCGAGATGACAGAGGCAGCACCCTACTCCCCAGAGGGGCATGGACTGAGCTGGTGCAGTGGGGCAGGTTGGGGGGGGGGGGGGCGGCTGGGGCATAAATACCCGTGTCTGCGGCATACTCGTGTCCGGGGCACATGAGCTGAGCCCACTCATAAATATTAGGAGTAGGAAGAAAAGCTATAGCATGGGCTGGGAGCTCGACTGTCTCCCCTAAAACCACTGGTTGAAGTCCTAACCCCTGGTACCTGTGAGTGGGATCTTATTTGGGAATGAGTTCTTGGTGAGCAAGCAAAGCCACATTTCTCAAGGTATCATCGTCACCACAACATGAGTAACTATATAAAGGAGTCGAGGCGCGCGCGCGCACACGGGGGTGGGGGGTGGGGAGGGTGTCATTAGGAAAGTTGAGAACCACTGAAGTAAAGAAAAGGTCACCAGTGTGGGCCCTAACTCAATATGGCTGGTATCCCTTTAGGACAAATGACAAGGACCCAGAGGACCCGATAGTCGTTGTTGTTCAAGTCTTTGGCTTCACCCCCTCCCCTCCCCTCCCCTCCCCTCCCCTCCCCTCCCCTCCCCTCCCCTCCCCTCCCCTTCCCTCTCTTTATGTTGTCAATACTGATCTGAGCTCCTCAGAGGCCCCAACACTTGATCCTGTCAGCACCGGAGGAAACAGGCTGTGGCCATAGGAGGCCCAGGGCCCAAGCCGCCGGCTCCGGCTCCTCAAACCTTGTCACTGTGTCCCGACGTGGGTATATAGCTATGTGAGTCACCACATTTAAGTCACCACTGGTTGTGAGACACACACCATGACTGGATGAAACGTTAACAAAGAAAAAATGCCACTGGGCTAATAACAAGGTGGGAATAACAGAAAGAAGAGGAAAAAAAAAAAAAGATGGAAGACAGCACAAAGCAATGCGGATTTCAGAGTTGGTTTTTTTTTTTAAATGAGTGATTCCAGATGGATGAAACATGGAAGCAGATTCTGGGGAAGGCCGCTGTGTTATAGAGAACAGGTCCTTCTCATGCAGGACTGCTCGGGGCCTTTCCTATCTTCCTCAGATCCCCATAGGGAACTAGAGAACGGGGTATTTCCCAAATGAGTGGGCCTTGTCTGGAAGCACACGGGGGGGGGGGGGGGTGTCGAGGTTACTAGAGTTACACTTTGAGACCCTCAACCTTGGAAATGGATGGTGGGGAAAGTGGGGGAGGGGCACTGCTTGATCTAAGGGTACTTGAAAGGAGCCGGTGGGAAATGCAAGTTTGGAAAGGAAGAAGATGTCTCTTGCCTCCTCCTCTCTCCTGCCTCTTCTTCCTCCCTCATCACTGGGGATCAGGTAACCTTCCCAAGCCTCCCCAAGCCCAGCTCACTTGCCACGCCCTCCACGCCCTCCCCACTCAGCTAAAAGGCCTGGCTGAACTCAGCGAATACATGGGAGAGATTCTTTGCCTGCTTGTGGGCTCATCTGGGGCTAAGAAAAAGTGAGACATCACACCAAGGGCCTCCCTTCCCCGGCCACAGGCACCAGAACATGCTGAGGACAGAGCAGCCAGGGTCATTCAGCTGGCTACCGCTTCAAAAGCTGAACTGCTGGTAACCAACCCTTGAAGAAACACAAGGTCCTGAGTCGGAGCCAGCTCAATGCTTGAACAAAGAAACATCAGAGGTAGAGACAGCGATGTGTGTACAGTGAATCCCATCCATCTATAAAACAGCACACGGGGTAACGTGGCCCAAGAAGACTCAGTGAGGACATTCCCAGGGCCAGCTATAGCCGGGACTATTCTGGCTCCAGCCAGATTGCACAGCAAGGCCCAGCCATAGCCCTTTCCTAGGAAAAGGGCTGTAAAAAGCTGCAGCCTTGCTGGCATGGACCCAGAAGATGCTTTCAGACCTGATTGAAGATCCAGGCCTCCAGAGTAGGACAGAAATTGCAGAAGGGCAGAGGCCACACTCACAGGAATGAACTCAGACTCCCTGGAACCCAGCTCCCCTCACGGCATGCTGGAAGTGAACCCCACCGTGGTACTGGAGTGGCTTCAGCACGCACCTTTGCAAACTAGTAGTCACTGGGAATTGGCTGGGCAAAATGGCTGCCACTGAGCAAATGAGGCCACGGGCTCCCAGCTTCCACTTGGCCAGTGAAGAGCGGATGCCAATTCCCTGGAGAGGAGTGCCCTCAGGCCTCAGGGAAAGCGCTTCAACTCCCTGCCGCAGGCAGGAGCCACAAGAATGCACTGAGTAGAGAATTCCTGGGGCTACCTTGATACTGGGTAGGGAATTTGTCCAAATGGGGACTTGAATGCCCTGCCTCTGAGTCCAGTGTGCAGGACCCGCTCCCACTTTTTCCCCCAGGGTACTCTTGAGGAGAGAGGGATAAGAGATTTAGATAGAAATATAGAGGGGAGAGAGAAAGAAACACAGAATAGCCTCAGGAGGGCCTGGATCCTTATCCATCGGCCCCTTCTGTCTCTTCTAAAGGGCTTTTTAAAAGGAATGCCAAGGGATGGAGCAAAAGACCTCCCCCTAGCTCAGCCAAGTGCAGACCCTTCCAAACACCTGGTAACCACGCATGTGGTCAGTCCGTCCCCTTATGCAGCCCTGCTGGGTAAAGCAAGCTCAGATCTCACTAGGAAATCTCTGTGGGCCCCAACAGTCCAAGCCCTACCTGGCTAGGCGTGCTACTTATCTGGGGCAAGACATCCAGGTGCTTGGGATTCTCTCAACGACGCTTTAGTTTGTACTAGAGACGTAAGATAATCCCACACAGTACCTACAAACCCCTAAATGCTATACTTTCAAAGTGTCACATAGCCCTGCCGTGAGGGCAGCTCAGCATTGTCCAATGTGGTGTCATCAGTGCCTGGCAGACGTAAGATAAGAGGGATAACCGGATCAATGGGAGAATAGATGGGTGGGTAGGTGGGTGGGTAGGTAGGTGGGGGAGGGGGGGCAGGATAGTAGATAGATCAAAGGACGAACAGGTGGATGAAATGGTGAATGAGTAAAAATGAACACATGAACAAGTGTTTGGAAGGATGGTCCCACAGAACACCTAAGAGCCCGATCTCCCGGAGACTCACCTGAACCATCAGGGATGGACCTTACAAAGGTCGGCAACATCTTGACCGAGGCTGTTGGATTATAATCCCGGGAAAGGCCATTCTTCATTTCTTTCTTGAAGCGTGTCAGGATATCTATCAGAATTTCATCTGAGAGCCGCATGGCATACAGATACTTATCAATCTGGGGGAGAGATAAGAAAGAAGGAGGAGGCTGAGTTCAAGGGAGGGAGGTTCCCTTCAGCTCCAGCCTGGCTGGGCACAGGGCGAGAAAGTGGCGGGTGGCCCGGATACTCGAACTCCAGACACACTGGAGCAGCCTCGAGGGAACGTCACACCAGAAGAGGCTGCCCAAGTCCCTCAACGGTGCCACCCAGAGCAGGTCCTCAAGTGCCTCTGTCCCTCTTCCTCACCCACAAACAAGACAACCCCAAGGCCCCTTCCAGTCCTGGATACTACACGGCGGATGCTGTTTGGTCCCCAAGGATATGATGCAGGCCGGTTTCCTCCTCTAACAGTGGCACCTCAGGCATCCTTCCCTCTGTGAGAGGGGGCTGGTTCCTTCCTCAAGGTTGGCAAGACCACACTGGCTAAGAACCGGCTAAGGGATCTAGGGCCAGCCACACGGCTTCAAAGCCCAGCCCTGTTGTCTTAGAGTTGTGTGGATTTCTGTTTCTTCAGCTGAAATAATGAAATAATTAGGACTTAACCGGGCGTGTGTGTGTGTGTGTGTGTGTGTGTGTGTGTGTGTGTGTGTGTGTGCCTATAATGCCGGAACGCAGGAGGCTGAGGCAGGAAGATCACAAGTTCAAGGCCAGCCTGGACTATATAGCAAGACTCTCATAAAAATAGATGAATTAAATGAAAAAAATGGATGAAGGTGCCAGTGGATTTCTTTGGACAATGACTTCCTTCAAAGTTTCACTTATTTTTATTTTATGTGCATGAGTGTTTTGTCTGCGTGTATGTAAGTGTGCTGTGTGTGTGCCTGGTACCCTTGGAGGCCAGAAGAAGGTGCCGGATCCCCTGGGACTGGAGATATAGATGGTTGTGAGCCACCACGTGAGAATCAAACCTAGGTCCTCTGCAAGAACATCAGGTGTCCCTCGCTGCTGAGCCATCTCTCCGGTCCCAAATATAATTTCTAAGATGGCAGAAGTGGTCAGCCAAAGAGCCAGAACTGTCAGAGAACACAGGAGGCTAGTCCCAGGAAGAGGCATTAACCCCACCCTCAGAATGTTTGGAGACAGTGCCGGGGCCCTATGCCCCGCAGGTGGGGACTCTGTGCCTGCTTAACGTGCTCAGAGCTCCAAACAGATTCTCTTCCAGGACACAGGCTCCTAATCTCAAAGCCCTGGGTGGTCACTGATTGTCCTTTCTGCTTAGTCTCTCAGAAAGTGTTCCCCTGGGAGCTGGGGGTGTTACTCAGTTGGTAGAGTGCTTGCCCAGCATGCGTGCAGGCCTGGGTGAAACCCAGGTCTGGCAGCACATGCCTCTAATCCCAGTGTACCACAGAGCTACGCCACCAGCTCCCTCGTAAACAGTTGGTTTTGTTTGAGACAGGGTCTGTCTCTATATAACCATGTAGCCATCCTCATCCTCCTGCCTCCTGCTTCCTGCCTCTTGACTCAGCAGTGAGGAGCACCTGATATTCGTGAGGAGCACCTACGTTTGATTCCCAGCACTCACATGGTGGCTTACAACCATCTATAACTCCAGTTGTTCCAGGGGATCTGGCACTAGAAAGGTAGAGAGGCAGAAAGAAGTTCCTTCTTAGCCCCCACAAGGCCCAGAACCACAGTGGGGGGAAATGGTTCCTGGTACCTTCTATGCTCACAGGAACTAGACACCTTGTCCATGGTGCCGTGTTGTGGTGTCCACTGGCATTTTTTTTTTTTTTTTTTTTTGTCTTGGTTCACCACCATTCTCTTGACTTCTCTGCCACTTACAAAACCCAGCTGAGCAGGAGTTAGTAACTCTGGAGATGCCTCCGCTGCCTTCAGTCTGCCTTTCCACGCTCTACCTATTGACACGGGAGCCTCTCCCGGGGCAGGTCTGGTCAGTTCCCTCCCGCCCTTCCCTGAGCTGCCTCCCCATCCCAGAGGCACCCACTTTCTGCTCTCTGCCCCTCACCCAACCACACTCCCTAGCTCTTGCTGCTGCGGCCTCAGGCTCCTCTGGTCTGGTGGTCACCTCCACCTGAGATGCCTTCTCTTCCCAGGTACCCAACCCTTACCAGCCCCTCAAGAAGATCCAGGTCAGGTGTCACTGCTCCCCACAAGTCTCCCAAGGCTGGCGATAACCCAATAACCCTTCCCATGGTCCTCAGCATGCATCACAACTTTCTGCATGTGTTCCCTCCGCAGTATCTGTGCTGTTTGCCTCAACCTCCCCAGCGCCCCACTTTGGATCCTTGCGGCCAGATTTATGACCCAGTAACACTGACAAGACCTTGATGTTGACTGGCTGCTGAGCATGGTATCTTGTACTCCCTGTTCAGAACGGCTAGAAATGTCCTGACTTAAGGACAGAGTCCCCAGGCCAGAACTGTAATCACTTCTGTGTTTGCTCTGGTCTCCAGGCCTCATGCTCCCTCCAGGCCCTGCTGTCTCCTGTTTCATAGATAACCATGGCGCTAGGAATCTACTGATCCTCCGTGGCCTGAAGGGATCACTGTCTCCAGTCCCCAGTGTCATCCAGCCACTCTTTCCTTTCTCCTTCATGACAAAGCCACATAAAGGACAATCAGAAACCACAAAGAGCAGAATAGAAATTGCCAGAAACATGGCCCTGGGTGGAGACACACAGCGTTCTACCCCAAGGCTGGTAGCACCGGCCTAGGCATGGAGCCCTCAGTTAGGGGGCATCAACAAAGGTTACAATACAAGCATGCTAGAGAAGTCCCAAGGGGGCGACTTCAGAAAGTGGGTCCAGGCAAAAGCAGGTGCATGTGTAGCCACAGGTGGGTGGAAATCAGCTCAATGCGGATGGAGCAGACAGTTCCAGAAGGGACAAAATCAAGAGGACTATCAGGAACCGGCGACATCACACAGGGTCCCTAGAGCCATGCCAACAAATACAGACCTGATCCCAACGCATGGCAAGCCTGAGACAGCATCCAAGAGGACCCAACTGAGATGATGGAGCTTCCGAAGGAGCAAGAAGGTGTCTGCAGGCAGCAGGGGCCTGACCCTCCAGAAATAGTCACAGGGCCCTCCCAGCTTTCTGGACATGCCTCACCTGCCACCTCCTCATACAAGGTCCTGACTGTCTGATGATGCCTGTGCCCATCCCTCTGACAGTGTGGGTGCCCCAGGGAAAGGAAGTGTGTTGAATGGAGCTTTGCAAGTCACCTGGCATGGAGGCAGCTCGGATGTTGCTGGCCACTGGAGTCCTGCTGTAATCATAGTGTGGTTTCCATGAACCAAGGGCTTTCACATCCAGTGTGTCATCTGCCCTTCAGAAGGACCTTGTCGGGAAGGCTTCTTAATCCCTGTTTTACAGCGGCAGGAGCAGGGCCACAAGCAGCCCTGTGATCCATCCAAAGAGCACACAACCTTCGGTATACACTCTCACACCAGCAAGCCTAGGCTCCCCCTGCAACCATCCTTGACCCTTGAGGGCCGACCTAAGTTAAGGGGAGCTGTTGAGGTCTTCCAGGTGGATAGGTAGAAGATTCTAGAAGAGGCAGGACTCTCGAAGCTCCCCAGGTATCCTCGATCCTAACTGGAAGATTATCTCAGTACAGATAACTAATCACGGACGCCAAAGTTTCAAGTTGATCCTGGCCTATAGAGAGCCAAGAAGTTCAAACGAAAAAGCAGGTTGGGGGACCCTTCTCTCTTGCTCAAGTGTATGAGTCACCATGGGACAGAACCCATCTCAGAAAAGACAGGGGAACTAGAAACTGGCATTCCGGGAGTTGTTAGGGTCACGTTCTGGTGGCCTTGGCTTGGTCACCTGTCCTCAACCGGCCAATAAAACAGACAAGAACTAATGAAAAGCAGAGAAAGGAGATTTAGTCAATATGGCCACACTGAAGGGGAACAAACAGGAGTTTGAAGGCACCCCCAGGTCTGTCTTTGGGGTCCTGACATGAAGTGCCGATGGAAACAGAGGATAAAAGGTAGGCACCTTCCCCACCATGCACCACCCCTGTTTCAGTTCCTGGATCTTGGAGGGTCTCTCAAGTTGTCAGCACCGGGGGAAATCTGAAGACAAGCTCCTCCTCTGGCTGGTACCAGAACTCCAGCCTTTTCCTTTCCCAGCATGAGCCTCCCGGGGAAATTTCAATTCCGTGGGGTCCATTGTCTCAAAGGTCTAATGGGCCAGCCAGGGAGGGCAATGCCTCCCTTTAGCACCTCTTCACTCCTGCCAAGATGGCTACAGCCCCAAGCTTGCATCTATCTGCCCTTCTCCCGAGGCCGTGCTTGCTTTAATGGAAGGAGGGATTTATTCTGGCTCACAGTTCCAGGGATACAGTCCATTATGACTCGGGAGGCATGGCGGCAGGTACATGAGGCAATGGGTCCCATGAGTCAGCAGAGAACTAGATATTCACCTCTCCCCCAAGTCCTCACACGCACAAACCACTCACTCACACACACACACACACACACACACACACACACACACACACACACACACAAAGTCCACAATCCCATTCTTCTATTGGGATTCTGCTGCCTTGGTGCTCTGGCTAGGCGCTGGTGACCCCAGACTCCCTCCTGTCCCTCTGTTTTATAATTGATCATGGGGAGGGCTCAGTACAGCACATCTCCAGGTGGCTTCTCTCACAAGTCTCAGGCTTTGGAACATCGTGCCATACGACTGGGACTCCCAAGAGCTATGACAGAAGCCCCCGGCTGTCATGTGCTCACTCTGGTACATGGTACATCACACGAGTCTACAGGGATCACAGGCTGACATGGAGATTGGCACCCCATGCCAAGCCAGGCCTGTAGCTCTTACCTGAGCCAGATCAGACTCCAGGGCCTACGCCATCATCCCAGGTGGGACCAGTCCTACCCATGAGGGTCAGAACTTCACTGTTCTTCAAAGTGGACCAAGAGCTCAGCACCTCCCATACGGACCTAGGCTGAGGCAGCAGACGCCAGCAGCAGAAGGAAGGCCACCTTGCCAAGTCCCCTGGCCCAAAGCCCTACGTCCAGTGAAAGAACTGGT